CGCCCCCCCCGCCGAGATCTCCCCGTCTCCGTCGACGTCGAATACGGCGAACGCTTCGCGGAGCTCGTCTCCGGCGGCGGGCTTTTCAAGAGCCGCGAGAGCGATGACTCCGAGCTCGTCCAGACTTATGTATCCATCGCCGTCTCGATCGATCTCCGCAACCATCGAGGCGAGCTCCTCCTCCGTCGGCGGATCGTGAGGGCCGAGCCGACCGAGCACCGCCTGGAGATCGGGCTTCGAGATCTTGCCATCGCCGTCGCGATCGAAGACGCTGAATAGATCGTCGATGGCTACGGGGAGAACGGATTTGGGGGTGATGGTTCCTTCGGAGGAGGAAGAGGTTGTGGTGGCGACGGATCCGAAGGAGGGAGACTCGATCCGATCTCTTTTCTTCGATCGGGAAGCCTTGGAGAAGAAGGATCCGAGTTTGATGAGCTTCATCTTCTTGATTGGAGCTGAATGAGAAAGTGTGCAGGGTGCGGAGAAACAGAGAGAAGGGGGTGGAGGAAATAAAGGAGGGGAGGGGAGCTTGGGAAGTGAGCTTCGGCGAAGCTTCGCAGGAGGAGGATGATTGTTTTTTTTTTCTTTTTCCTTTTTTTTAATTTTTAATTTTTTTTTGGCATTGATATTTTGAATTTACTGTCGGGAATTAGCCGTTTTCGTCATTATATTTTAGTAAGCACTCGAAAGATTAGAAAATTTATTACATCACCTTCGAGTCCAATGAATCATCTCTATGTGGAGCTGACAGTAAAAAAAAACTCGTTTCTTATGATCTGGCCCAGTAATACAGGAGAATATTCCTCCCATGATATTCCGCGTTATTTAGGTGTTATTGTGATTATAGTGATGTATTATTATAATATCGAGAATATTTTCATAACACAATAATACATGAATATCACCACAATAACACATGAATAATGCGGAATAACACTGGGAAATATTTTTATGTGCCAAAATATTTTTTTTTTATTTTTATGTCACTTCCACGTGCTATGAATTTATTGGACTTCAAACGTGTCTCTACATCCAGAATTCGGACGTAATATTTGTTCGAAAAGATACCCGCCACTACTGACTCCGTAATAGACAAGGTATTTGATATTTTCGCTTACGCATCATTGAACCAATATACTTAAATTAATATATTTTAAACGGCATGAAAATAGCATGTGTTGATAAATTGCGTAATTTTGAAATAAGGATTCCAGGAAAAAATAATGAGGCAGTTGAGACAATGATGAGTTACCATCAATGTAGGTGGGAGGCAACAAGGACTTAAACGTAGGGGCAGAGGGTGATTGTATAGATAAGTAAATGTTGGGAGGTGATATTTCTATGAAAAATTTTCTTGTCAGGGCACGAATCTCGACACATGTTAGGATTGGAAGATTAGGAAATTAACTTAAGAAATTACTCGCACTCAAATTTATGATCAAATGAAGTCCTTCAGCGACAAATTAAATAAAAATATAAATTCAAGAGAGTCTAGATCATGCACTCAAAGCATAAATAAAAGCTTTGAAAAAAAAATTTTGGGGATGAATGATCCTCCAATTTGGTAAGCTAGTGGTCAACTCGAGCAAATGAGTCTTAGATCACTTAATTATGATGTTATTAAGACATTCAAATAATCATAAAACTTTAAATGATCTAGGGAATCACTTTGGACCTTTCGATAGAGTAAACTTAATTCATGTAGTATTTCTCTCCAAAATCTATAATAGACGGTCATTCTCTTTATGAAAGGGGGTAGACCTTGATGAGTTGACTAAAGGGTGCTCCAACCTTTTAAGGTTTCTCGAGCTCCACCACCTCAAGTCAACAGTCACATGCTACAACTACCGCCATACCACCATCACATGACCAAAGTCGGGGTACCACCAAAGTTTGACCACCTACGTCGGGTCGGGTCATCACATATGTACAAGACCACCATCACCAATATGTTGTCACCACAGAACCACTATCACTCGACTAATGTCGAGACACCGCCATCGTGTTGAACCAATGATGTTGGGCTACCACAGTCGTACCTAACCACCATTGCAAAGTTTATGTCATCATCTGACCATGTCAGTCGATTGATGCCAAGTCACTACCACTGCCACTGTCAGATCACTGTTGACCATTCCCTTCTGTACATTAATATATTAATATATTATACAACTGTAGTTTTTGGCCGTACAGTCCAACCCAAACAAACCATTCGTGCTCATCCGAATTAATAATAGGCCAATTCGGCTGTCGATTTACAGCAGGCCAACCAAAAGAGGAGATTTTTTGGTTCCCCATCAAGATGGAAAACCATAATTTAAATTAATTAATAAATAATTAGTTCGTTTGGCTTATTAATTAATCTTATTTGCGTCTTATTCTTCCATCTGTCCCGTCACTAATACGACCCAAATCTCGTAGCTATATGAGTCTTCAAATATTGGGGTTTTGCCATCCTAAAACTCCACCTTTTACATTTTTATAATAGGTTAGGATATTTTATATAAAATCAATAAATTTTATTAAGTTTATAAAATAAATATGATAATTTTGGGTTTTTGATTAGAATGCCATGACTTTTAATTTAATGATTTTTTTATTTATGGGGTATTTTCATACATGTCACCCAGTTCTGATGTATTTATATGTCAATAATCTAAATTTTATTTTTTACATCTAGACAATTTATTTTTTTTGTGTATTATATAAGAAATACCCATATTTTAACTTTAAAGGGTGAAATGCACTTTTTCTTGCATAGCTATGGTCATTAGGGGTGCAAATAAACCGAACACGATCGAACAAAGCTTGTGTTCGTGTTCGGTTCGTTTGAAATTTAGCTTGTTTGAAATAAGCTCGTGCTCAAAATTGTTCGTGAACTTATGAGTTGTTGGTAACCGACGAGCCAGTTTGACATCCCTAATATTAATATATATAAATAATATATTATATTAATTATATAGCTTATATTATATAAATATATAATATCTATATTAGTATATTACTAATATATAATATTAATATGTTATTATTATTAATTTATTATATATTATAATTTATAGAATTTAATTTTTTTAAATATCACAAAATTTTTATAAATAATTATTTTAAATTATTAATATTTTAAACAATAACGATTTGAACACGAACGAACGCATCATTATTTGTGTTTGATTCGTTAACAAACCCGAATGAAAAAAATATGTTCGCGTTCGTCTTGTTTACTTATCGAACGAATCAAACACAAACGCATTAACGAAACGAACACGAACTCTTTACAAACAACTAGCCTTTTTTACAGCGCGACCGGTTGTTAGTCGACAAGGGGACCGCGGAGCAAGATAAAAAAAAACATGTGAATCGGCGCCTGCGGGGCCCACAGTTACCGTAAGGATTAAAGATCCATTTGGGAATCTGTGAAAACCTGCTCCTGCGGACCTAAATATGTAATTTTGCTCCGACGGGGCGTTTTTTTTTTTTTGTTGGAATTGTGTGGGAAAAAGTAAATTAAAATAAGTACGAAAGGCATCGATAAATTAATGAGGTAATATCATAAATATATTAAATACCGTATCTATTATAAATTATGGTATTAAATACTAATTTAGTATTACCTTATTTTTAATTTAATTATTACATTTACTAATAGTTTTAAATTTTTAAAGAAAAAAGTTTTACAAATAAATACTTGTCAATCTTAAATTTTGATTTCATGGGCATTCATATCTGAAATTTATTTTCTATATTTATATAATTTAAATCTTTCGCATCACATTAGAAAATATATTATTATTGAATTTTAAAATGTAAAATGCATATTAGTTCGCATAAGAAAGAAGCCATAAATATAAATATTAAATTATGATTTGTTCCTGGATCACATGAAAGGAATAGAGCCTAAGAAAATAAAGATGGGGGATAAAGCGAGAGGGAGAGGGAGAGGGAGAGGTAAGAGAGAGAGAGAAAAGGGGGATAAAGCGAGAGGGAGAGGGAGAGGTAAGAGAGAGAGAGAAAGAGAAAAAAATGTAGAATAATGAACAGTAATATGATTTGTTGATTAATTCTCTCATAAAATGATTCCTTAATTTATAAAGGATAAGTTACAATATGTGAAGTTATATGTTTGTACCTGCTTTAATTGAGACGTTACAAGATGTTTTAGGCCCCGTTTGGGGCAGTTGATTGGGTTGCGGGGGTGTATTCAAAACTCTGTCGCACCGTTTGAAAAATGTGTTCACCGAGCGTCTCCCAAAATGTTTCGAAACTACGTTCGTCATTTCTTTAATAGGCGGGGACGCAGGATCGACCCCGCATCCCGCGTCCCCTTCTCGAGTTTGGGTAAAAATTACTCCCGTGCCCTTCTGATCAGCCTCACCCTTCTTCTCGTCCTTCACCTTTCACTGAGATCGACACCGCGATTCCAGCTTGATCAAAAGGCCGCCGAGTGACTGAAGTCAAATCGTTGCTGGATCAAAATGATTTCGATTCTTCATAAAACCGAAAGCATGGATTCCTACGCAGCTCTTTCCTACTGATCGATCTCCACACAGAGTTCTCTTCTTCCATTCAGTTCTCATACAGAGCTCTCTTCTTCCATTCAGCTCGCAGAAGAGCTCCTTTCTTCCATTTGATTCGCACAGAGGAGTTCTTTCCTTCCGATCGATTCGCTCTCTTCTTCCTTTCTTGAATCTTATGCGATCACTTGGGATCTCTATTTTCAATCGTCTATTGCATGAATTACATGCTTTCGATTGGTATTCTCGATCATCTCCATTTCCTTCTTGATCTATACTTTCTTGATGTTTTCCACTTACCCAATATTTCAAAATCGCAGCACCCACTTTTTTCATTTCTAGATTTTCAAGAACCCTAGGTAAAATGTCGGTGTTAAAACTCTTTATTCTTTTTTACTGAAATTAGCTAATTAATTGATTTTTTTTTAACGGTGTAAGACAGTTGTTAATCAAGAGCTACTTCTTGAATGTATTCAATACTGCATAGTTTACAAAACTTGACTTAATGTTCATTTTTTAAATCATATGCAAAAGGTAGTGCATAATTTGATGTGTGAAGAATCATTGTATTAACATCTAGAGTATGTTATGCTCACTATAGGAAGTGTTGCATTCACACAATAATTAAAATAGAAGCCCTATTTTGTTGCCTTCTCCTAAAAACATGACATTTCATGAAACCCTTTAGTTCTTACTCTATCTACTCTTCCTTATTGAAAGTTTTAATTTTTTTACTTTTAATTGTAATTGTATTTCTTTTTATTTTATTTCTTTTGATACTCACAAAATGGTGAGCAATACAAAATGGTGAGTAATATATTTTAATTTTTGTAACTCAACTGTATTAGTTTTATCTATTATTTTCTCCATTCAGTTCTGTTACAAACAACTTAACAAAACAGAGGCATAATTGTTATTTATTCAAGAACAGCTCTCAGTAAGCTGTTTTAAATAAGCTGCCTCAAACAGCAAGACAACTTATTCTGATAATATGTAGATTATAAGATTATCAGAATAATTTGCTTATCAGCAGATTATAAGTAATCAACAGCTGCCCCAAACAGACATTTAGTTATTTTACATGTATGAACTTATGACTCGGCTACCCTCTGACTCGGTCAACTAAAATCAGTGAGTCTTGGATAGCCAAGACCTGCTTGTTCGACTATGTTG